AGATATTAATAGATGGCAAATTTATTACGTCATTCTGCATATATTGAAAGTGTTAAAAAAAGTAATTAAACTAATTAATTTTTTTATTTTCAAGATTTATTAATTCTTCTGCACCAATTCAAATTGTTGCAGTCACAAAATTTTCTTACTTTATTATTTATATAATTGAATACAATAAATATCGCAGAAAGATAATAGCTATATTTTATTCATCGTTGATTCTCAATTGTCGAACATGTATGTATATATGTATGTGTCAATAACATCCTATTATCTATTATGTTGGTCCGAATCTGTAGATTGATCTGTAGGTGGATTATATATTATGATAATTTCTACAGCATATTTCACGTTTTCATTTATGTGTTCTACTAATTAAAATAAGATAGAAACTGTAAATTTTTTACTTTGATTTTTTTGTGAATAAATGCCTCAATAAACACTTAAAACACGTTAAATTATAGAAAATTGTAAATTATACATAATTGTTATCTGAAAATATCTCACAATGCTCTTTATTTTTACAATGGTATATGTTATTTACTAACTAGCGATTATGTTAGTGCGCGTATGTTTTTTACACATTACAATTCATTAATCCCAAATAGATTATTATGTGTCCATATAAACGTTTCAACAAAATCTTTTATCATGACCAACATCTGAAAAAGTTAATTAAACATAAAAAAAGATTAAATGTAAACAAGAATCTAATTATAATGTAAGAAATGAGAAATGTACGTATCTTTTCTTTCTACACACATATAATGTAATTTATTAATTGCTTGTCAATTTACAAGCATATTAATGACTTAAAATTAATAGAAGTAATAAATAAGTTTCAACCTTTTCAGTTCTTATTTTGATGACGTCATAATTTGTTTCACAAGACTTGTAACCTGGTAGATAATTATGAAGACAATTCGGGAAATTTTTGTCTTCTATGTAAAAACATCGTTCATTTTCTAAATTATTCGTGACGTAAACAATTAAAATATTATCTTAATCATATGAAAATTTTTATAATAAAAAATTATATATGTATGCGTATAATAAAAAAAGAAAGATTATCGAAAAATAATGATAATGTCGAATCTAATATATAACTATACTAACAATTTTGATTTCCAAAATATACAGATTTCAGTGTAAACATCTATTAGATCGCACGTAGACCAAGTCTTCTAGCCACGTTATGATAACACAGGCATTACAAAGTATATATGGTCAAGATATTGTATATACAACAATATCTTGACCATATTTACTTTGTAATACCTGTGCCAGGTATAATACAGAACAAATTGATCAAAGCGAGAGAATATTAAGAACAATATATAATATATACATATATGGCCCATAATTATATATATTATAATCTCTAATAACTTACATAATCTATACAAATCCATTTGATATCTTTGGGTGAAAATGGGGAGATACATGCTCGAAAATTCAAGATGCTAAATATATATTCTTGGAGTGTATCCATAATCTGCGTACTTTCTGTTTCATCCCAATGATTATCTTCGATATTGTTGCTTTTCCAATAGGAAAAAGTTTCTTCAGACGTGGAGAATATCGAATGGTTTGGATGCTTCAATCTGAGACATTTCAGTACCTCTTGTGCGATTGTATCCAATGATGCACTTACATTCGTGTAACATACATCTTTTCGAGGTTGAATACGTTGTGCTATGAAAGTACATGTTTCTTCCAAAAGCTGTTCTCTTTCAGGTTTCTGTATATATCTGTCTAACTCATTTCGTATCGAAGATATCTTCTCATAGTGAGACATTTTTATATTGCAAAATTCTTGGATTGAATTTCGATCAATTTTCCTAAAAAATTTATATATATTAAATTATTAACTAATGAATAAATACAATAAATTTGTAATAATAGTAGCATTATAATATATATGAATATCCTACTGTGGAATTTGTGTTAACAAGCATTTAATCTCCTCAATATAAAACATACATTTCAGCACATTTATAGGCTTACGTGTACGTCTAAAAACAAGTTCATTTTCATTCAAACGATTTGCATATTCATCGAATTTATCACTGAATTTTTTTACATAATCGAATTCCAATACTACATTATTAATTGAATCATTGAAATAATTTTGATTTGATATTTTATCGTAATAATAATCATGAAAAAGAATTAGAGACAAATAATTTCGCAATTGTGTCGCAGAATTTATGCCTATTGTGACAAAGTTTAGGTTTTCTCCATTCTTTGTTTTTTTAAGAACATTATATCTTTTCTTTGCATAGGGCCATCTAAAATACGACCATAAAATATTTTAATAAATTTTTGATAATGATTCTTAGTCTTGTGTCGAGATTAATTTAAAATTAGCTGGATAAAGATCCTAAAAAGATAAGGATCTCTTATAAAAGGGATACAACATCATATGTATTTATATTTTTATTTATAAATTTTTATCGCTTTACTGTCTACTTTAAATATTCTTGTGTGCTATGATTCTAAACCAAAATTATTTGAATATTATTTTAGATAAATAATATAGTAAAGGTAGTACTTTTTTTATCTACTTGTAAGATGCAGATATAAAGATAATACATATTTTTATTATCTATATGCAGATAAGATGACGCCACAGTTCTACTATTTAATTTCATTTAGATAACAAACAGCAAACTTTGATGATAGTAAACAATGTGATTGCACAAGTCATTTTTCAAATTAATAAATTTTTTAAAGTATACAATTTAAAGCATGATATATATGTCACTTTTTTTTATACTTTAATCAAAAATAGAAAATATATAATAGTCAATTTTAATTTGTAATTAAATTTATATTTTTCAAATTTTGATTCTAATATGTATATTGCATAATTCTGTAAGTGTATTCTATATGCAATTAATAAACATTAATGTGCTTATGTGTATGTATGTAATTAAATATATTGAAGAATACACATTATAATAAATAAACCAAGTTACTTTTATGTTGTATTTTTAATAATTAAATCTAAAGAAATCATTGAATGACTGAATATATTTCGACCGATATATATATATAGGCTAATGAATATTTATTTAATTAATTACACAACGTTTCATATAATTTTTGTTATTCTCAAGTGTTACTGTTAAGTGTGCGAAGTTATATGGTCGATGGTCGAAACATTGTGTGATTAATTAAATAAATCAATTGACGAATGTCGGTTGAATATGGTCTTTAAATATGAAAATTAAGAATTATGTATATTATATTTAACGTTTAGTTTATATATATATATATATATATATATATATATATATATATATATGTATAACGGTAGAGTTTGCCAAAATTATTGAGCAATAGAAAAAATGAAAGCGAATAATTTAATATGCAACATATTTACTTTTTCGAATATTTTGTATTTATTATATATTTATAATATACGTTCTTCGCAGAAGTGATATACATTGTGCGACAGGCGTTAATGAGACAAAATAACAAAAAGATTTACAAACCACAAGAATTACTTTTGAGATAACTTTTTTTCCAAGAACTTGTCATATTTGGCTGCATAACGCAATTGCTTGCACACGCATCGAAAGTTAATGATATCTTCAATAGTGAGTACGTTATCGTTGAGAATGTAGCTTATCATCTCCTCTGGTAAGCACGTTATCTTCCAATCAGACATTATGAGAACCGAAACACAAAAAGGGAATGTAAATTAAAGTAATTGCAATAAACTATTCGCGTAATTCCTTGTTTTTTGCAGTACACGAAATGAGTCTGCCGATTACAAAGAGCACCGATGTGTGTTTGATGTACACGAGAGACGTTTTCCACACTGTAGACGTTCTGTTCTTTATTATAAAATTTGACCTTAAATTTTAAAGCATTATTGCTTGTTTTCACTAAGATATAGGTATAAGAACTTGCCACGGCATGCGCAGAAAATGTAATTTAGAACTAGCAAATTTACCGTTTCTTCCTATGCGTTTGAAAGAACGTGGTAAATAATTTATTTATTATTTATTTTGTTATCATTTTTTATTTATTTATTGTTCTCTATATAAGCTTAATTAAAATAATAAATTTTTTTCAAATTTATCAGTTATTTCAAATTTTACTAATTTTTATGTATTTATATTTTGTATTATTTAAGATTAATTAATTATTTCATTTCAAATTATCAATTATTATATTAAATTTTACCAATAATATTCATGTATTTATATTTTACAGTTTAAAACTCCAGTGTTGTGCATTGTCAAAATTTCTCGATAAGAGAGAAAGAGAAAAAGAGAGATTTACTTTTTTTTTATTTGCAATCTTTACAGATAAAATTCTCAGCTAAAATAAAATCGTCGACTTACAATACAAATATTTAATAATTGGTGTATGTACATAGTTTATATAAGACTATTCTATAAAATTATGTAGTTTTATTCGCGCGTATATACGGGGTGTATATATTTTAGAAATATAAATTCTATAAGAATATAAAAACTCCATGGATTAAATGCAAATTCAGAATGAACAGACTATGCGAACTCAACGCAGATGTTTGTGAATAAATGTCAATTCGAGGTTTTAGTTTCTATGTTTTTCTCTGATCTCTCTAAAAAAATGTAGAGAAACAATAAAGAGAACCGATAAAAATTTATATATATTGAATTATTAACTAATGAACAAATACATTAAAATGTAATAATAGTAGCATTATAATATATATGAAAATCCTACTGTGGAAATTGTGTGTTAACAAGTATTTAATCTCCTCAATATAAAACATATATTTCAGCACATTTAGAGGCTTATGTGGACGATCAGGAAATAATCGACTTTCAGGCAAAGAATGTACATATTTATCGATATTACTACTGAATTCTTTTACATTATTTGTTAATTTCAATACATTAGTAAATGAGTTCTCGAAGTAATTTTGATTTGATTTATTATTGTAATAATAATCATAAAAAAAAATTTGAGACAAATAATTTCGCAATTGTGTCGCAGAATTTATGCCTATTATAACAAAATTTAGGTTTTCTTCTTTTTCTTTTTCCGTAAGACTTTCATATCTTCTCTTTGCATAGGGCCATCTAAAATACGACCATAAAATATTGTAATAAATTTTTGATAATGATACTTAGTGTTGTGTCAAGATTAATTTAAAATTAGCTGGATAAAGATGAGATAAAAGTATGTAAATTAATCTTAGATAGGATAAAGATGATTTTGTTTTAAGTGTATCTAGATAAGAGATATAATTATATGACGATTTATTTAAATAATTGTTTAGATAATAATATTTAAGACTGCTTATGTAAACACAGTTATACAAGAAATATAAATTATGAAAAAGATACAACAATATATGTATACATATTTTTATTTATAAATTTTTATCGCTTTACTGTCTGATTTAAGTATTTTTATGTGCTATGATTTTAAACCAAAATTATTTGAATATTATTTTAGATAAATAATATAGTAAAGGTGGTTTTTTTTTTTTTTTTTTGTAAGATGCAGATATAAAGATAATACATATTTTTATTATCTAAATGCAGATAAGATGACGCTACAGTTCTTGCATTTAATTTTATTTAGATAACACACAGCAAACTTTGATGATAGTAAAAAATGTGATTGCACAAGTCATTTTTCAAATTAATAAATTTATTAAAGTGTACAATTCAAAGCATGAGTATATATATGTCACTTTTTTTTATACTTTAATCAGAAAAAGAAAATATATAATAGTCAATTTTAATTTGTAATTTAATTTATATTCTCTCTTCTTTCTTTCTTTTCAAATTTTGATTCCAATATGTATATTGCATAATTCTATAAGTGTATTCTATATGCAATTAATAAACATTGATGTGCGTATGTATGTATAGATTAAGTTTTTTTTTAATATTTTGTAGAACAATTTTTTCGAAAGCATATTTACAAACAATGACGACTGTGCTTATATATGTGACTTGGCATGTTTTTACTTTTATAAAGATTTAATTGTGATTTCAATGCTATTTATGAAAAAGAACCGATAGAAAAATATCAAATTTGTTTGTTACTATCACGAATATATATTATATATATAATCTTTATATTTAAAAATGCAATTAAATATATTGAAGAATACACATTATAATAAATAAACAAAGTTACTATTATGTTGTATTTTTAATAAGTAAATTTAAAAACAATTATTGAATGCCTGAATATTTGTCGACCGATATATTCATAGGCTAATTAATATTTATTTAATTAATTACGCAACGTTTCATATAATTCTTGTCTTTCTTAAGTGTTACTGTTAAGTGTGCGAAGGACCAAAATTATATGGTCGAAACACCGTGGTTGAAACGTTGTGTGATTAATTAAATAAACATCAATTGACGAATGTCGGTTGAAAAATATTTGGTCTTTTAATTTTTGACAGCCGAAAATTAAGAATTCTTATCAGTATATTATTTAATATTTACATTCCAAATAAACATATATATATATAACGGTAGAGTTTGCCAAATTTATTGAGCAATAGAAAAAATCATTTAGTAAAATAAAAGACGATAATAAAATAAAATATTTAAATTTAAGTGATTCAATGGAAGTGAAGTGATTTAATCTAATTTTTTAAATATTTTTTTTTACTATTTATGTTATATATAATTATATATTAAAGTACATATTATATTATATTTTTTTGAATAATAATTAATGAAATTCACAAGACAATGTGCTAATGTAAACTAAATGATCTAAAAAAATAGGATTATTTTGAATTACTATAAACAATAAATAAATTATTTTATTAATTGAATCAGTATAAAAAATAAATTGAATAATTGAAGAAATGATGTTAAAGATTACGTAGCTAACACGCTATTTTGTCCGTTTTGTATTTATTTAATCTATTCTTTTCTATCAGTTTTTATATACATTATTGATGTTTTTGTTGTCTTACAATATATTTTTAATATTTTTAATATTCACAAAATACGTTCTTTGTTGAACGGATATACATTATGCGACAAAAATTATTAAGACAAAATAACAAAAAGATTTACAAACCACAAGAATTACCTTTGAGATAACTTTTTTTCCAAGAACTTGTTATATGTGGTTGCTGCATAACGAAATTTCTTGCACACGCATCGAAAGTTCATGATATCCTCCATAGTGATAACATTATAGCCGAGAATGATGGTTATTATCTCGTCTGGTAAGTACGTTATCTTACAATCAGACATTATGAGAAACAAAACACAAGAAAGGAATGTAAATTAAAGTGATTGCAATAAACTATTCGCGTAATTAATTCCTTGCTTTTCGCAGTACACGAAATGAGTTTGCCGATTACAAAGAGCACAGATATGTGTTTGATGTATACGAGAGACGTTTTCCACGATACAGACCGTCTGTTCTTTATTATGAAATGTGACCCCAAATTTTAAAGCCTTTTTGCTTGTTTTCACTAAGATATAGGTATAAGAACTTGCCACAGCATGCGTAGAAAATGTAATTTCGGCTTCTTCTAAATTGGTAGCAAATTTACCATTTCTTCCTATGCGCTTGAAACATAGAACGTGGTAAATAATTTATTTTATTATTACTATTTATTTATTTATTGTTCTTTTTATTATTTAAGTTTAATTAAAATAATATATTTTTCAAATTTTGGTCAATTATTTTAAATTTCACTAATTTTTATGTATTTATATACGTTATGTAATATTTAAGTTTAATTAAAATAATATCATTCAAACTATTAATTATTTAATTAAATTTTACTAATTTTTGTATAGTCATTTTTACACTTTACAACTGCAGTGCTGTGCATTGTGTCGACTTTTTATTTTAATTTGGAGTTATGGAGCTTGAAAGATAAAACGTGGTAAATAATTCATTTATTATTTTTTTTATTATTATTATTTATTTATTTATTGTTCTCTATTTAAGATTAATTTAAATAATATATTTTTACAAATTTATTAGTTATATTAAATTTTATTAATTTTCATGTATTTATATTATGTATTATTTAAGCTTACAATAATTAAAATAATATTATTTCAAATTATCATGAATTTTATTAAATTCTACCAATAATATTTATGTATTTATATTTTACAATTATAAACTTCAGTGCTGTGCATTGTCAAATTATCTCGATAAGAGAGAAGGGGTAAGAGAGAGATTTACATTTTTCATTTTTTAAATCTTTACATATAAAATTCTCAGCTAAAATAAAATTCTCGACTTACAGTACAAATATTTAATAATTGATGTATGCACATAGTTTATATAAGAATATTCTACAATTTTATTTAGTTTTATTCGCGCGTATATACGGGGTGTATATATTCTAGAAATTTAAACTATAAGAATTTAAAAACTCCATAGATTAAATGCAAATTCAAAATGAACAGACTATGCGAACTCAACGCGGATGTTTGTGAATAAATCTCAATTCGAGATTTTAGTTTTTATGTTTTTCTCTGATCCCCTTAAAAAGATGTAGAAAAAGCAAAATATATCGGTCCAAAAGTCGCTGAATCGGGAACTTAGGAATTAAAATAGAGATTCTAAAATTGAGAACCAAGTTGAGATTTATTCCTAAATAGTCTTATTGTTAGCACTATGCTAAGCAAATTTCGTGCCTCGTGCACAATTATAAGACATAGGGGAAACATTAATTTTTATTATCTAAAACACAAACCTTCGCGTTCGGCTCGCATTCCTTGTTTATTACGAGACTAACTTTCTTATTCATTAAATATATTTGTTCATTTATTTTTCAAAAGTTTATATTAATCACTAAAAAAAAACTAAATAGTAATATTTATATTTATCGGTTTTTCACTTACTCCTTTGGTAGCATTTGGAGATATGCAGAGATATTATGAAGTTGAAATAAATATCATTAATTTAAAAGAATTATTTATCTTATTAAATTTGTCGCAAATCTTGCGTTTCAGAATGACCTTAAATGTGTTTTATATCCAAGTGTGGAGTATATTTGTTGTTTTAAGCATGTGTGTTTCAATTATGTTTTTTTTATATTTTTAGATATATATAAAAAATTTAGGTATAAGTCTTTGTAAATTATCTGAATTTAACATATTTCCTGATATAGAATAAGAAGGCCGCACACTTGAAACATTATGTATAACTTTCTTTATGCTTTATTTTTATATGATATATCACAGATGTATCGATAGATGATAGGATGAAATTTTTATCACAGATATCGCATGCTCCACGTTGTTTATTACCTTTTAAAATAATGCCACATCCATCGAAGAGATTTTCTGCATAAATGATACGATGAAAATATTCTTTGTTTATAGTTATATTAAACTTTGTTATGATTTTTATTCCATTAAATTTATGTTCTTCTTTTGATTGTCTAACGAAATTAGTTAAAATATTTCAATTCACATCATGATAAATGCGCCGCATAATAAATTCAAAGAATGAATTTATAAATTTAAAAAATACAGCGCAGACATTTAAATGAATGTTCAGATTTTTAATTTCAATTTAATTAAATTTATTTAAACTTAATCCAATTTATAAATACGAATCTTTGTACGAATTATTAGTATCGTTACGACATTATTTATACTATGAAATATATTTCAATCTTTCTTCCCCTCTCCCTTTCTGTTTATTTTTCATTTTTTTTAATAAATAATGTGTAAATTTTAAGCGCGTTATAAGCATTAGCACTAACCTTTTTACCTCGTCGCTGACTGGATTCGCGGTCCTCAGATTTATGCCAGATGGATGGATCTCGTTCAATTTATTATAATTTAGTCAGGATGTGTGTGAGGATATATATATGTATATTATGTTCCAGTAAAATGTATTTATTTGCGATCCGATGTGTATATATATATATATACTGTAGAGTCGATACAGACGCCGGAGCTGCTGGTAACGCCGCCAGAATAAGTACTTTCTCAGATTGTCAGACTGTGTCAAAGTGTGTCGCGCGCTCAAATATCCTCACTTTTATACTCGCTTGTCTAAAATATTCCCACCCCAAAGTACCGGACCAATCGGAGTAATTTTACACAAAATCGTTCGGTGCTCGCGAAAACAATAATTCTTACGAACGAGAGAGATTAGGTTGACGGTCGCACAAATAAATAAAAATATAACGCATAATAAAACTAAACCGTCTAAAGACAAGTAAACGAAAATATAAATAAAATAGATTAACATCTCTCTCGCTTTCCTTTCCCTTATACATACGGCAATAAAGTTAAAATATATAAAAATGCTTACAGTTAATAACTTAAAATTATTAGAAGTAATAAATAAGAAATTTTTAACCTTTGTAATTGTTATTGCGACTGGTCTCTCAGACATGTGTTCTGATCGATTTTCAATACTAAAATACGCAGGGGAATGGTTTTGTGTGTGTAAACATCGTGCATTTTCTAAATTATTCGTGACGCTGTAAACAATTAAAATATTACTTTAATCATTATAAAAATTTATATAATAAAAAATTATATTGGAAGCGTATAATAAAAAAAAAAAGATTATCGAGAAATAATGATAATGTCGATTCTAATATATATCTATACTTACAATTCTGGTTTCCAAAATATACAGATTCGATTAAAAACAGCTAGTACATCGCAACGTAGACCAAGTCTTTTTGCCACGCTATGAAATATTGTATATACAATGATATCTTTACCAGATTTACTTTGTAAAACCTGTGCCAGGTATAATACAGGACAAATTAATCAAAGCGAGAGAATATTAAAAACAACATATAACGTATACATATATGGCCCATAATTATATATATTATAATTTATAATAACTTACATAATCTATACACAAACATTTGATACCATTTGGTAAAAATGGAGAGATACGTGCTCGAATGTTGAAGGTGCCAAATATATATTCCTGGAGTGTATCCATAATCTGCGTACTTTCTGTTTCATTCCAATGATTATCTTCGATATTGTTGGTTTTCCAATAAGAAAAAGTTTCATCAGACGTGGAGAATATCGAATGGTTTGGATGCTTCTCTCTGAGACGATTCCGTACCTCTTGTGCGATTGTATCCAATGATGCACTTACATTCGTGTAACATACATCTTTCCGAGGTTGAATACGTTGTGCTATGAAAGTACAAACTTCTTCCAAAAACTGTTCTCTTTTAGGTTTCTTTATATATCTGTCCAACTCATTTCGTATGGAAGATAGCTTCTCATAGTGAGACATTTCTATATTGCAAAATTTTTGGATTGAATTGCGATCTCTAAAAAATGTATATTGAAGTATTAACTAATGAATAAATACATTAAAATGTAATAATAGTAGCATTATAATATATATGAAGATCCTACTGTGGAAAATGTGTTAACAAGTATTTAATCTCCTCAATATAAATGTAGGATTCGGTATTGGAGATAAGATATATTCTGCACAAATATCTAGAGAATCAGGGTTTGTAATTTTATTTGTTTCTCCTTTCGAGGATTATAGAGGACTGCCTCTCGTCTCTCTTATAAGTCGCTCAGCTGATCCCGTCCCCACTCTTGTTTTTCTACAAAGGAATTCGAGTTGACGAAAACCCGAATCCTCGAAAGACTCGCATATTATATTATCTAATTGCGCGTATACATCGAATTATAATAACATATGATTAATAACGCATAGAGTTAACAATCCTACAATCGGCCATTCTGATAAATTATTCGTTTTGAATGATTGCTAGCGTTATGACCAAGGTTTCATGTATTCCGCACATGTGCTGGTCGTAATCGGGCCGTCGCCCGATCGCATTCGTTTTACATCGTATGTATCATTAATTTTCGCTTTTTCTACGCGATATGGCCCTAAATATTTCGCACGTAATTTTCGTCCGGGAGTCATTTGAGTTCGTTTAATAGCCACGAGGTCCCCTACTATATATTTACGAGGTACTCGGCGTCGAAAGTTATATGTCTTACGATTTTCCTCTTGCGTTTTTAAAATTTGACTTTTGGCTCTCAATCTATGTGCTTCACGATCTTCTTGAAATTGCTCACGGAATGCCTCTTCTATTAATTTTTTTAATTGAAGGTCCTCTTTAGATTTCATTTTTACGCCTACTAATAATTCGAAAGGAGTCATATCGATACTTCTGTGATACGTAGAATTCAACGTATTTTGCAGTGCGGGAATGTGTTGATACCATTTTGTTGGATCCTCGAGAGACAATTTAGTTAATATCGGAATAATACTGCGGTTAAGCCTTTCAATTTGACCATTGGCTCTAGGTAATCCTGTAGTTATCATTATGTGCTTAATCTTTTCTTCTTTACAATAATTGCAAAATTCTCCTGAAGAAAACGCAGTTCCTCTGTCTGAAATTATTTGCACTGGATTGCCAAAAATCTGTTTTTGAAGTTCCAATTTGGCTATTGCTTCTCGTGACGTTGTTGATTTCGTAGGATAAAGCCATACAAACTTCGTAAAACTGTCAATTACTGCAAAGATATGATTGTAATTTTTTCTAGTTGATTCCAATGGGCCCAAATGATCTACATGATATGTATATAATGGTAAGTCGGCTTTTGGCAAAGGATGCAGAAAACCCTCGGCTTTTCCTTCTTTTTTATTTGCGAGAATGCACGGGATGCAGGAACCAATAAATGCTTCTACTTTTCCTTTTAAGTCGGGTATATAATAATCCTTTTGTATGATGTCCATCGTTCTCTTCAAAGAATAATGAGCCTTTTGATGTATTATTTGGATAATTTCGTTATGTATTGACCCTGGTATCATCAGAAGATCAACGCCCTTAACGAATTTATAAATTAGTCCTCCTCTTAAGGAGTACTCTGCTGCGGGCTTATCTCTGATTCGCTCCGTTATCGCGTTGCATTCAGGATCTTCTTCTTGTAGCTTTCTTATCTTAGCTACTAAACTATCCTCCGTAATGGTCATCACAAAACTTCGGCTGATTGCGTCTACATGTTTCATGCGTGTGCCCGGTCGGTGTTCTAAAACATAGTCAAAATCTTCAATTTGTTCAGCCCATCGCCAAATCTTTGCTGAGACGTCTTTCTTATTCATTGTCTGAGTAAAGGCTGCACAATCCGTGACAATTTTAAATTTCAAACCTAGCAGATATACACGGAATTTCTTTAAGGCGTCCATCACAGCTAGAACCTCCAATTCATAGCTTCTATAATTGCTTTCAGCAGCTGTTGTTTTCCAATAATAACGGGATGATGAACTTTCTTCGCGAGAAGATCGCTGTAATAATATCGCTCCTAAACCATTTCGACATGCATCCGTATGAAGTTCTGCCTCACTATCAGGATTAAATATTTTTAATACAGGTTCTTTAGTCAAAAGTTCCTTCAAAGCACAAAAAGCACGCTTTTCGTCATCATTAAAGCAAAATACATTATTTCCGCGCAATAAATCACTCAACGGTTTAGCTATCAAGGAATAAGACGGCATAAATTTACGAAAGTAACCCGTTAATCCAAGAAAACTTTGAACATCTTTAACCGATTTTGGCTCTGGAAAGCGCATGACAGCTTCTATTTTACTTGGAGAAGGATAAACATTACCATTTTCTACGATCTGTCCTAAGAATTCTATACGCGTTTTCATAAATCTACATTTCTTAAAATTAAATTCGAGACCATAATCGCTCGCCGTTCTTAATACTATTTCTAAATTCGCTAAAGCTTCCGCAAAATTTGAAGCAATAACTATAATATCATCTAAATACAATGTCATTATATTACTATTAATTAACGGTCTAAAAATATGATTAATATATCGCTGAAACGCTGGCGGAGAATTGCAAAGTCCAAATGGCGCTTTCAAAAATTGATATTGTCCCTCATGCGTGACAAAGGCCGTATATTTACGACTTGACTCATCTACTGTGACATGGAAAAATCCATTTTTTAGATCTAATGTACTAAATACACGCGCGTCTTTTAATTTGTCTATTTGATCTTCGATTAAAGGTAATGGATGCTTATCTTTTTCTATAACTTTATTTAGCGGACGATAGTCGATACATACACGCGGAGAACCATCCTTCTTTTTTGCCACTACCACTGGACTCGCATATTCGGAAGAGCACTCTTCAATAATTCCGTTTTTTTGCCACTCGGCTACTTGTTCTTCAACGATTTTTTTATCCGGTGCGGGCAGTCTGCGCGGTCTTTGTGAAATCGGTTTGCTATCCTTCAGAGACACACTCAATTTAATACCCGTCGATTTGCAAATATTCGGTTGATATGAATTAATTAATTGTTCCACTCGATCACGTATTTTCTCATCGCGAATAAGTCCGAGATCAACTCTTGTTTCTTCCGGCAAATCTATATGCGCTATAAATACTGTAGGAACAATTTTGGTAATAATAACCTTATTTTGATCAAATTTAAGTACAGCCATCTCAAGTATGTCTCTTCCGATAACAACATCGATTTCCATCGCATCGCTAGGAACAACATATAACGTCATTGAATAATCTTCATGATCGATATAAATGATTGTTTGAAAATATCCCAGCGACTTAGATTCGCCCTTGCCGAAACCGAGAAATGTTCGCGCGCACTGTACAAGCGTTCCCTTCAATTTACGAAACATATTTTCGCGAATCAAGCTAACACGACTACCGGTGTCTATTAACGCTAATAGTTTAATATTGTCTATAAAAATTTCTTTAAGCGGTTCGATTCTTTGAGAATACGTCACTAAATTAACTGTCGATGATTTAGAATCTCGCGCGTAATTTTTTGGCGCCAAACACTTAGCTGCTACGTGACCGAATTCGTTACAATTGAAGCATTTCTTACCTAGCGCTTTTTTCTTACAGTCTTTAGAGTGATGTCCGTATATGCCGCAGTTGAAACATCGAGTCTCCGTTTTTTGTTTGTCAGAAATCGTTGCTCTTTCCTTGCCGTCCCCTCGTGTTGTGCTACCGAATGTTTGCCTTGGTCTATCATTCTTGTCCTTTGAATACTTCGTAGATTTGTCGTGGTAGGCCTTTCTAATTTTTTCATAGGTCCTTAATTTTTCCTTGAATTCTCTGATAGTCTTGGCTCCAAATAACATCATTTTGTTATGAGTTTCGTCTTGTATGCCATCTATTACATAATCGAACAGAGCATCCATTTCGAGAGTACCGCGGGAGGCCAATTCTTTCATTGCCAAAAAATATTCCTCTATGGATTCCTCTCTTTTCATTTTGCGTTCTTGGAGCATTTTATGCAATTGCGCGCTGGTAATTTTCATAGAAAATTCTTCCGTTAAGGCCGTCTTCAATTCCGTCCAGGACTTTATTACACCTTCACTCTGAACAAATAATTTCGCTAACATTTTCAAACATCTTTTTGCGAAAATTAATTTTTGTAAATTATTCCACTGGAACATAGACGCTGCGTCTTCAAAATCTGATATCCACCGCTGCACGGAATAAGAATCACCTCCGTCAAAAGATGGTACCGAATCCTCGACATCCTTATAACTTAGTGTGAATCTTGTATTATTTTCGTTCACGTGATTTCTGTTTTCTTGTCCTTGTTCACCGTGAAATATTGCCGCTGCCTCATTGTTTCCAATGTCAACCTGTATGTTGTTAATGTTTGCCTCTCTCTCGTTGACCGCCACGTCATCATCCCCTGGCTCTCCATCGTCGTCGTCGTCAGAAATTACTGCCACTTGTTGCAAAGAATTTATATCCATTAATGTTTGTACTATGCGTTCTCTTAATATCTCTGCATTCCCGGTATAGTCTAAACCTAGGAGATTACAGATTGATATCAAGTCTCCGATAGTTAGCCTTCTTGTATAATCGAGTTTAGCACGAAATTCTTCTGAGTCATTGCAAAAATCGAAACCTGGGAATCCACGTATACGCTGTCGATTTCCTCGATCGCCTTCTTCTTCAAAGATAAGTTTATGTAATGCTGTTATA